CCATCTTAATGCAGTCTTCATCTGAACATTCAAATAAACCTTGCAATTTAGTTAAAAATGTTATGGATTCCTATTCAAACAGCTTGTTTTTAAACAATGGAGATCAGTGCCAGAAGGAGCACTGCAGACAGTCCTGTCTACAGAACTGGTATGAAACAGCCAAAAGAATGCAAATTTCCTTATATGGTCTCATTAACAAGCTTCAACAACTACCTACTCCCATAATTCTTACAGGAAAAAATAAGTGTGTTTATTCATTCCAGTGATTTTCAGTTTCTTATCTTAGTGAGACTACATTTTTTTCCAACTTTAGTAGCTGAGAACATAAGAACCATCACACTGGGTCAAACCAAACATCCATGTAGCCAAGTATCCCATTTCCAATGGTGGCAAGAAGCAGACGCTACAGAGGAAGAGAGTGAAAAATGTGACTTGTGCAATGATCCATTCTGTCATACATTTATGGTCTTATGAAATTCAAACACTTAACCCCTTTTTGTCCCACACAGGGAACGGCTGATGTAGGAGTAGGGTCCATCACAAGACAGCAATTTGATAAAAGGGTGTATACAGGCAGCATAAGGCAGTGATGGAATGCTGGCACCTTGGCAGAAGAGTTTTGGCTTCAGTGTATGAAATATGGTAGCTATGGTACTGTTAAGATGTATACACCATCCCTCCTTGACTGCCAAGTACAATGCTACCCTCTCCTGGGGACCCTGGAGCACTGAAAGAACCATGGCGAAGGCACTGAGTCAATCTGTCAATGCAAGAGGCAACCGGGCAGAAGCATCAATTTGCACCAAGAACAGCAATTCTCAGGGCCAAGAGTCCCACCATCTGAGTCTTAAAAAAAGGGTTCAGAGGAATTTTGCATTTCTCTTTAGGGCACGAGACAAAAGCCATAGCCAAGTTTCATGAGCTGTTTTAAGAGCCATCTGTAGGAAGATAAAACCTCTATCTGGCTAAACAGATATCTGCTTACACATAGGGCTTGAGATCACTTTTGCAAATCTAGCAACAGTAGAGACAAGGTTCTTGGAGGAACCAAAATAAATAACTCCAGGATTGAGGCAGAAGCCAATGGTTTAACAAAGCACTGAGGGAAAAGATAAACACTGGAACAGCACACCAGAATGTTAG